ATGTGTAAACGGTCATCAGAACCGACCTCGGCCTGGTTAACTGATCCGAGCTCGGACCGGTCTCTGCATGGATCGGTTTTTCAAGGGTAGTGTAAATGGGGCTTTAAAGGTACAGGGCAACGTCCCTGTCACTACCGGATCTGTCCCGGAAGCACGATCCATCCTGCGCATGCGTCATCAGCACATTTGCGAATGTTATTTATCTGACTCAGGTTTATGTAGATATACATCCGGGTTGCCCTCAATTTTATTTTGTTAAAAAAACCTAGATTGGGCGTGCTTTGGTGGAAAAGTGGCTAGTGCACAGGACCCATGTATGGGGGCCTTAGTCCTCGACACGGGCGACCCTGGTTCAAATCCCGCCTGCGGTCCTTTGCCGCATGTCATTTCCCTCTTTCTCATACCCCCTTTCCTGTCGGCCTACTGTCCATAAAAATGAGCAACTAATGCTGTAAAAACTCAAAAAAATAAAAAAAAATAAAAAAAAACCCTAAATGATGTTTTTCCCTCACAAAAAATAGTAGGCGTACTAAAATATAATGTCTTAAATGTTAATAATGTATTTCATAAGAAAATAAATACCTTAAAATCTTTTCTGTTTCATCACTCGTCTCTGCCCGATCTACACCGGAAATGGTATCCCACGCTACTTCCGGGAGCTAACTTTTTCGGATTTGGATTTAAACATAAATCTAGTCTTTTTGAGTTTTATGTTTTCCTTTCATATTAACATTATGGTATATAGCGCGTAATTTAAAGAAGGAAACAACTAACATGCAGATAAACATTGTTTGATTATACTTTGCCAGACTGCTCTGAGCATGTCAGAGAAGCAGTTTATGTAGAAAAACATAAAAATTGTCTCACAAAAGTCATGAAACATTTTTTTAAAGATGTGTATTAGTGAGGCTAGTGAGTTTAGGTTGTAAATAAGTAATTTTAGTACCATAAAAACATTATTTATGGACACCCAGATGTATATCTGTCGTGTATGTGCAGAACTGATCGTGCTCCCGGGATCGGGTAGCGACAGTCCCTCCAGAAAGAGAGTTACCCACCCCTAATTATCTCTGCGACCAGCATAGTTTTACCAAAAAAAGAAACAAAAGTTAATCAACCAAATTTGAAAACTTTATCTTAGCCTTGTGCATGTTAGCATGTTAGCAGACACTAGCTAGTAGGTGCTGCACGTTCTTCATATCGTGTGAAATATTCACTCCTGACCAGACGCACCACAGTGTGCATAAATATTTGTTGACAAGAGGTTTTTCATTTTTGATTTGCAGAAAACAGGGACAATGTTGACCACCCACAGCTGCTCATGTATTGACCCTGTTCTTGTCTCTTTTTAAAGCAAAGGGCTGAAGACAGACAAGCTTCTTGCTCATGTGTTTGAGATCGACGAAGATGCCAAAGATGAGGTGAGGGGCTGACGGCCTGCATGGATCTGCCTGCGGTCGATGAACATGAACGCTTATTAGCAGACAGCACAGTGTGGAGAGCTCTTAGTGGTGCTCTGGAAAGCTCATAGATTAAATTCCTCTCAGAGATGCAGGGCACTCTTGTAATAGAAACAAAGACTGTCTCTTTGCTCATTGACTCAAGCAAGTGGATGGAAATGGTTGACTTATGGTCTGTCAGATGGGCGTTTTAGCCTTCTTACAGTGAGCTATTGAGCAGTGAAACTAGAATCCTAATATATACTATAAATAGATCTGATCAACCATTAGGCAGAAGACAGAGGGAGGAAGGTCAGTAGAACGTATCCTTTCCATACCACAATGCTGCAGTCAGCCGGCTCTCTGGAGGCTAATCAGAAAGAAGGATGGAGCTTTAGTCTAGACTCTAGAGGATTAGTGCAAAAATGCTGGTGCCTTTTTTCCTGTTTTCCTCCAATATTTTGATCTCCTAAGAAGAAAGTTTTATTTATTTTTTTCAGATATAGCCAACAATAGTGAGGTTTACAGTACAGCTAAAATGAATATTTAATGATGTTTCAGGTGTAAATAAATTTAAATGTAAATTCCTTCATTGTCCCACAATGGGGGAATTCACTCTCTGCATTTGACCCATCCCCTTGGGGAACAGTGGGGTGCCATTCTGTGGCACCTGGGGAGCAGGTAGAGTGGAGGCTGTGGGGATCTAACCAGGCACTTGCAACCTTCTCAGAGCACAAATGCACTGCTCAAACCGCTAGGCCAACACTCCTTTCATAAATCTGGTCATCCTGAAAGGCTCCCTCTGCTTTGTTTTTCTCAGGACACGTCTTCGCTGTGCTCCCAGAGGGGAGGCATCCTGAAGCAGGGCTGGCTGCAGAAAGCCAACATCAACAGCAGCCTGTCTGTCTCCATGAGGGTGAGTCAGCACCAGGTCTATTATTACCACGGCGACATGCAGGCAATGGGAACTGTATATCGACCAGCTTCAAAGGGGCGTACACCAATCCTCAGCATCTTTGGGATAACAGATAAAGGCTGTCTCTCAATATCTGCCCTAATCACTATACAGTGGTTACGCGCTTTTAGATGAGTGTCCGAACGTCTAGTGGATGAAAAAGTAGTAGACTCAAAATTTCGCACAATGCACCTTGAAAAGTAGTGATCATCCATTGTCATTCATGCATTCAGCAGCCACTCCTTGAAATCCAAATTAAGCGAATGCATGTTTATTCAGACTTTTTTTTTGTTAGAATTTAAATATGTGTAACATTTGTTATCAGTATGTCATTTTCACCTTGTAAATAGAGAAAAAGACTGGTGTCAAACTAATCCGCATCGGCATTGGCCTTAAAAAAGAACATTGTATAGTAGGGGTGTAAATCACATCCATCATGGCGATTCGATTCAGTATTGATTTCCTGACCCCAACGATTCGATTTGATTAATTGTTTTTTTTTTAACACCTTACAGGCAAGACAATGTTTCTAATTTGAAATAAATCAATGAAAGCTGTAATATCTTTATGCATTTTATTTGAGAAAGAACAGCAAATAACAGAAGTAGAATAGTTGCTTCAAAAAATACTGCACAAAATCAGTGCAATGAGTGCAATGCAATACCTCTCCACAGACGCTTCGCTGCACCTCTCCCAAATTGTAGCTGACCGCAGACAGTGCCGCAGTCTGGAGGTGGCTTGTTTTGTTTTTAAGACCAAAATTGTGAAGTTTGACCCGCTAGAAGAGCGAGGTGCGCGGGAATGCTGGGACCCTTTTTCCACCTGGATCTCCGCTCTTTTTGGCCCTCATGTCCCTCCGTCGTCGGACTAAACTCGCCCCCACTTCCTCACCGCCTCGTCCGTATCTAGACCCACAGCTTATAGCACAGACCACGCTTCAATATTGAGCATAATTTAAAAATGTCTGTGTCGAGCTTGCTGCAACACACTGCTGTAAGAGTATAACCAGGAAGCGAGGTAGGAGGGCAAAATAGGTTTAGCGCCACCGCAGCACGGGAAGAGAATTACGCCCAGGAGCAAATGGATAAAAATAGACCGCAGGAAAAAAAAAAAAAATGAATCGATACTCTTGCGGACGTATCGATGCATCGGATCGTCAGCTGTTGGATCGATGCATCGATACAAAACGATTGTTATTTACACCCCTACTGTACAGGCGGTAGCATCTACCCTCAATAGCCTTAGATAGTAGACCCAACATTTTCATTCAGATAGGATACCAATAGTGCAGCTTTATTAATACCGGTGATTAATTGAAACAACAGCAACACAAGTTATATATACTTTTATTACTTATTTGTAGTTTGGAATATTAGAAAAACACTGATTAGATGATTTTACTCAGACAGAGTAACAACAATAGTCAATAGTCCAAAACTACCATCACATGATGCTGCCGCTATCGCGATTGACTTCTAAGGGTAAGAGGCTTCCAAGAGGTGTCAGTAAAGGTAGCTTATTACCAATACATGCAAAACTTTTCAGAGTTGTATTAGTTAAAATAAACCATAATGATTATTAATACGCATACATTTAAAAAAGGCGATTAGATGACTTTTCAATTAGTCATTGTGGAAGCGGAAACACACATTTAATCCTTCATGTCTTTGTCATAAGTAGGTTGATAAAGATGACTTTGCCTGACCTGTTGTCCTCTGCTGTACCTTCCAGGTGTTTAAACGGAGGTACTTCTATCTATCCCAGCTTCCTGACGGATCCTACATCCTCAACTCCTACAAGGATGAAAAGAACTGCAAGGAAACCAAAGGCTCCATCTACCTGGACTCCTGCATAGATGTTGTTCAGGTAAAGTTGAGTGGAACAGCTGCAGCAGGAGGACTGTGCAGAGTTTATGTAAACTCGTTGTGTTTATGTACCTCTCTCTTGGTGCACGGTTGGTGCAGCGGTTCCCAGCCTTCTGAAAGTCTGTGTCTTTCCCCCTCGCGCCATGCTCTACAGGCTTTTAGCTGTTTTTATTGGGGACAGATTTATTGCATTCCTCTGGCTGAGCAGAGGAGGATTGCTCCAGCAGATTAAAAGGAGGTGGCGGGTTTGGGGGTGGTGTTGACTAAGGAAACTTGTTGGTAGCTCTTTTGGATCTGGGCTGGCTGCCTGAAAGCTTTCAGTTTTTAGATGAATAATCACCCACTGGGCTTCATCTGATTTATTTAGGAAGCTGTGCTTCATGTTATACCAGGATTTATTTTTTTTTCTATTACATAACCCACACTGTCACCATCTGACATGGATGTTGAAATAAATTCCCTTTAAATCAGAGGAAAAGGTCTTCCACTTTCTTCAATCACAGCAGAAGCA